TTTCCTGCAAGCCCCCCAAAACGCTTATTTCTAAACTGACCCAGAGGATGAAGCTCCTATAAGTCAAAGTCATTGTGATTTTTGTTTTCAGTTTGTCCTCCTCAGCCACCTAACATGAGTCTCTAATCAATAAACCATAGTTATTCTAAGCCAGTATCTAGGTCCTAGAAACAAACAAACAAACAAAAACCTAGCTGTCTGCACGCCTTCGTGGACGCTCGGGGCCAGGGTCAGGAACCAACAGCCTGCAGGCAAAATCTGGCCTTTGGTTTATTTTTGCAGCCCGGGAGCTAAGAATTTTTTTTACTGGTTTGAAGAAATTCAAAAAGAGGACAACAGTTAAGAGGGTGGGGGTGGGGTGTTGGGGGTGTGTGGGTGGTCACTCCTAACCATTATGAGTCCGATTTAATTCTATGACAAAGGATTTGGTGTATGTCTGTGATTCTGAACCCATTTGGGAATGGGATGCCTTTGACATGTTCATGAGATGGGATTAGAGTAGAGTATGTCTTCAACCAGTCTCTTCTGAGATATAAAAGAACGTAAACCAGAGAGCAAGCAGCGATGGGAAAGAGATGCCAGAACACATGAAAACCATGCCGAAGCGAAGAGGACAGTCCTGCGGAGTGGACAGAGCAAGAACAGCTTCTGGAGCTGACACCTGGGACAGGAGCCTCCTGAACGATGGACACTACATTTCTGTGGGCTAACGAGCTCATGCCATTTGTCTTTGCTGAATTTTAGAGTTGTTTGGTGCCTTCTATCCTTCAAATGTTTTCCATTTTTGCCTGTTTTGTTTTGGTTTGGTTTACTCTGTACTTCACAGATCCATAGATGAAGAAGAACTATGACCCCAGCTAAACTATTCTTTGATTTAGATGATTTGGAAGATGAGGTTTTGGGCTTGGAATTGACATAAGACTTTTGGGGATAATGTGATGGGAATCGTGTTTTGCAGGTGGCAATGGCAGGGCCTTTGGGGGGTGGGGTGGAGCTAAAGGATGGATGTTATGGATCAAATGATGTCCCCCCAAATTATTTGTTGTCATTCTTTGCCTCCATGCTTGTTATCATGATCGCCTTTGGGAATCATGCTCTCCTTTCTCAGGTTCATGAGAAAGGATTAGCTCAAGGTGCGTCTTGAGTCAATATCTTTTGAGATGTAAAAGAGATCAAACACAACTTATCAAGTACCTCAGTTGTTTTCGGTCTTCCACAACGTTGATCCTTGTGAAGAGTAACGGTCACTTATATATATTGAAAATCCCAGATTTTGGATTTGTCTATGTTTTCTCATGAATGTAATTAAAATTATACACTATTGTAATGAAGAGAGAGAGAGAGATCAAGCAAGTAGGTGAGCAAGCAAAGACGGGGAGAGATAGACATCAAGCTTCATGAAAATGGGTTGGAAAGAGGGAACCGATTATAAGGAAATATATGTGACCTCCTCCCTGGGAGACAGACAACAGAAAAGTGGGTGAAGGGAGACTCTGGACAGGGCAAGATATGACAAAATAATAATTTATAAACTATCAACGGCTCATGAGGGAGGGGAGAGCGGGGAGGGAGGGGAAAAATGAGGACCT